GTATAGGAGCTCTTTTCTGGTATGACAGGCTCCAGGACCTCTGTTATACAGTATTAATCATGTTGGCCTTTATAATTGTTGAGATTTGTAAGGCAAGTTGAACTAAGAGTGATCTGACAGAAGAACTAAGGAAACAATCAACAAACAACAAAATATTAAAAGCACTTATTTTGACCAAAGTACATGTGTTTTGCAGCTCCCCAACATCTGACCATGTTGAAGCTCTTTTTTTTTAACTGGCCCAACAGAAGAGCATTTTTCTTCAATCCTGTGAAGAATTCTGTCACTACTTCAAACACAAGGCAAAAATCTCTGAAAACCATCCTAGTGGTTTCAAAAAGTTCCCTTTCTATACTCCAAAAACCCTCCCCCAACTTCATCCATTGCAGTTTCATCTTCTACCTGGGCTACTTTCCCTTGAGAGTTTTTGGGGGTATTACTGTTACTGGTCTGTGGGCCTGATGCTTCAAAAGGCCAAAACTCAAAACATCAGAGTTTGGAGTAAGAAAATATTTATTGATGAAGAAAGCACTGCCCTTGGAAGAATTAACATCATTAAAATGTCCATACTACCCAAAGCAAACTATAGAATCAGTGCAATGCCCATTAAAATACCAATGACAGCCCTGGCCGGTTTGGCTCAGCGGTTAGAGCGTTGGCCTGCGGTCTGGAGAGACCCGGGTTCGGTTCCCGCTAAGGGCACGTACTTCGGTTGCAGTTTGTCCCCGGCCCTGGTTGGTCGTGCGGGTGGCAGCCACTCGATGTGTCCCTTCACGTCGATGTTTCTCTCTCTCTCTCCCTTCCTCTCTCTCCCTCCCTCTCTATCTGTACAAAGAATGGAAAAAATATCCTCAGGTGAGGATAAAATACCAATGACATATTTCACAGATCTAAAACAAATAATCCAAAAGTTTACATGGAACAAAAACAACCCCAAATAGCCCCAGCAAGCTTGAAAAACAGAACAAAGTAGAAGGGATCACAATACCAGATATCAGGTTATACTACAAAGCTATTGTAATCAAAACAGCCTAGTACTGGCACAACAAGAACAGGCATATAAATCAATGGAACAGAACAGAGAACCCAGAAATTGACCCAAGACATTATGCTCAATTAATATTTGACAAAAGTGGCAAGAGTATACAACAGAGTAAAGGCAACCTCTTTAATAAATGGTTTTAGGAAAGTTGGGCAGATACATGCAAAAAAATGAAACTAGACCACCAACTTACACTATATATAAGAATAAACTCAAAATAGATAAAAGACTTAAATGTAAGTAGCAAATCCATAAAAATCCTAGAAGAAAATGTAAGCAACAAAATTTCAGACATCACACGCTTCAGAATTTTCACTGATGCAATGCCTAAGGCAAGAGAAACAAAGGAAAAATTAATACACGGGACTACATCAAACTAAAACGCTCTGTACAGCAAAAGAAACAAGCATCAAAATGGAAAGGTAACTCACTATATGGGAGAGCATAATTGCCAATGATACATCAGATAAGGGGTTTATTTCCAAAATATATAGAGTACTCATGCAACTTAACAAAAGGAAGACAAACGATCCAATTAAAAAATGGACAGAGGACATAAACAGACACCTCTCCAAACAGCACATACAAATAGCCAAGAGACATACGAAAAAATGCTCAATGTCACTATTCATCAGAGAGATGCAAATTAAAACAACTATGAGGTATCACCTCACACCTGCCAGAATGGCTGACATCAACAAATTATCAAACAATAAGTACTGGTGATTGTGTGGAGAAAAGGGGACTCTAGTACACTGCTGGTGGGAATGCAGACTGGCACAGCCACTATGGAAAACAATATGGTGTTTTCACAAAAAATTAAAAATTTATCCTGCATTTGACCCAGTGATCCTACTTCTAGGAATATATCCTAAGAAGCCTGAAAAATAAATCAGAAAGAATATATGTACCTCTGTGCTCATAGCAGCACTATTTACTATTGCTAAGATCTGGAAATAGCCCAAGTGTCCATCAATAGATGAGTGGATAAAAAAGCTGTGGTATGTATACACAATGAAATACTATGCAACTTTAAGAATGAAAGATCTTTTATCCTTTGTGAAGACAAGGAGGGATCTGGAGAGTGTTATACTAAACAAGATAAACCAATCAGACTTATCTCACTTATTTGTGGAATGTAATGAACAAAATAAGCTGATGAATAAAACGGACCCAGTAATATAGAAAGAAGTAGGCTTCAGCCTGACAAACCTCAGAGGAGGGGGGCTGTGAGGAAGAAAGAGATAAACCAAATAATTTATATGCATATAAGCATAACCAATGGACATAGACAACAATGCTGGGGGGGGAGGGGGAGCATGGGATCAGCAGGAGCATGTCTATGGGGGAAAAAGGATAAACAGCTGTAACAAAAATAATTTAATAAATTTAAAAAAAAAAGAAATGAAGAAGGCACTACCCAAGAAGATAGGAAATCTAGCTGTACCTCAAATCCATATAAAGAAAGTACATAATTCAAGCTTCTTTTATGTGAAGGGAAGGGGAAATGGGAGGGGCAAGAGGTAATTGACAAGCAAAGACATCTAAGTGCCCACAGGGGTTTGAGGAAGAGTGTGGAAGTTGATGTGAGCCCACAAGGTTTTTGCAAATCTTCAATAAACAGTACACACTTCTCTTTTCTCTTTAAGCCACAATCAGAATCCCTCTAATGATTAGCATATTTATATGCAAGTTTAAGCAGAAGCTATTAACCCGAAGGCCATGGGAACAAAGCAGGCTTGAACCAGAGGGTGTCAGAGAGACCCTATATTTAATCTATTACATTATTTTTCACAGTCTTCTCCTCCAGTGCACTAGACTTGTTTCTTCTTACCCAGAATTCATTTCCCCATCTTCTGAAGCTACTCATTTTTAAATGAGCTACAAGTGAGAAGGCAAGCCAGGTGCTGCCCCTTAGGCAGTGCAGAGAACCCACCCCTGGCTTTGTAATGCCCTTACATCCGCCAACCACCTAAACTACAGTGGAACTAGAAAGCCTCCAGATGCTCAGAGGTTTATCATGCATAAAAGGTGGCTGGAACCTGGGCTCAGGGCTCATCCTTTGGAGGTGACTCCACTGGGACAGCACCTGTGTGCATTAAACAGCCCTTTTCTAATTCACCGAGTGCATGCAGTCTGTCTCTTCCTACCGACCAACTTTCTACCACAACATTTTGGCACATTAGCCAAGAAGCCTACAGCCACTGGCCCCTTGAGCCATCTTTGTAGGAAGCCAGCAGGAAGGAGCCACTAATTTTGGGCCCCGCAATGAAAGGGGAGGCATGCCACCGGTGATTTCACTGGACCCTGACCCTTGCTGGGCCCAACTGTACTCGACCACAGCTGTGCTCAAACAGACACCAGGGAGGTTAGAAAAACCTGCCAGGACATTGGATTGGTAAGTATCCCCGGGGACCTAGGACAAAGTTCAGGCTTGCCTCTAAGGTTGAAGGGGAGCTTGATCACTTCCCAGGCAGCACAGATGCCGCACAGGATAGGGAAGTCCTGGGTGGAAATTTAAATTCGGTGTGATTGTGTGTGTGAGTGACCATGCCCCACAACACCTGTTACAAAGCCTGTGTGAGTCCCAACCTACACATCTGTGGCGACCTCATACAGCTAAGGGCAGTATCAGATTCATGAGGACATTTGTCTCCACCAGTGAACCTGATCCAAGTCAGGGATTTATACCGACCGGCCAATGCCAAGAGGCGCCTAAATCCCCACAAGGGGAGCAGCCAGGTGGATGAAGCGAGAGTTTCCTCCTGTTTGTCTTGCAACACTGTTCGCTGGGAGGTTAGATATCATTATGGGGGCAAGTTCCTCTAAACCCACTGTTCTGGAAAGTATAATAAAGCATTTTATAAAGGGGTTCTTAGGAGATTATGAGGTCAAATTGACCCCCATAAAATTGAACACCCTGTGTGAATTAGAATGGCCCACCTTTGGTGTGGAATAACCGTCTGAAGGCACCCTTGATGTTCCCACGGTCCAGGCCAGGTACAGGGTAGTCACCAGAGACTCCAGCCATCAGACAAATTTTCCAACATAGACCAGTGGTTGAAAATAGCACAAATCAGGCCTCCTTGGGTTCAATTATGTGTTACTAGTCAGAAACAGTGTAAGATCCTTGTGGCACAAGGTGAAAGGAAGGCTTTATGGTGAATTAAGGGGTCTCCTATATTATAAGGGGATTCAGAAAAGGCCCTTTCACTGCCACTTCCATACACCCCACTACCTAAGGATAGAGAACCTCACCTGCCTAACAGCCCACCTCCATTTGCCTCACCTCCACAACCAGCCACTGTGCCACTGGAGTCAGGGTTGCTGGAGCCAGTGGGAAGATGTCTCAGGTCAGCAACCCAGGGACCAAAACCCCCAGCAGCAATGCAATTACTGCAAGAGACAAGGGGTCCACAGAGAATGGGCCTTGACAGGACCCTACAAGAAAGAGAAGCAGTCTTCCAGACTAATCCCCCTACCTGGGTCAACTGTAGCGGATTGTCACAGAAGCCAGAAAGTGGCTCCAGACCCAGGCACCAGCTGGACATCTAAACATAGAAGCCTGGGCATGAGAGGTCTTAACTGATGAGGAACACTCAGGGAGACCTGCAGACACAGAGACGGGAAAGGGCAGGAGAGAGACAGACAAATGTACAGAGGCAAAGCCAGAGTTTAGGATTGACAGAGAGACACCAGAGAAGATGTGGGAGACAGAGGCAGGGAGAGACAGAGATGCAGGAGAGGATGGTTTGCAGGAGCTGGACCCCTAGGCAACTCTCCCAAGGGGCAAGTTTTTTCCATCTCGTCTGAAGGTCCCTAGCCCCTCTGACACTCTGCCTCTGACCCTGGTGCTAGTCCGAGCCCCAGACTGAAGAGAGGAGCTTTCCACAAAGCCAGGGTGTGAAGGACATGGTGCCCAGACGGCCTCAGTCCCTCCCAGCTTTAGCACCCTGCCATGTCCCAGCTACACCCACATCCTAAGAGGGGCTAGAGCGGCAGCTGGCTGTGGGAAGCCCAACCGCATCTGCTGTTCCCCACTGTGACTTTCCCTGGGATGGTGTGGCTGCTCCTGCTATTGCTGACCTCCCGCCTGACCACAGCCCAGCTGGTGTGGCTTAGTGGTTGAGGGTCAACACATGAACCAAGAGGTCACCAGTTTAATTCCCAGTCAGGGCACATGCCTAGATTGTGAGCCCAGTCCCCAGTCGGGGAATGCAGGAGGTGGAAAAAATGAGTGCCAGCAACAAAAACCAGGAACTTCTGCTCTACCCAGCCACTACCAGCCAGACTTAGGTTTCAAGATCACCCAAGGGAAACAAATGCTAAGATCCAAAAGGAAACGCAGTCTGCGCTATTCCGAATCCCACTTCCCGTCAACAGATTTGAAAATTTCTGGGAGCAGCAGATTTCTGTTGAATATGGATAGCCACATTTTTAGTCCTGGAAAAACTCTTATAAGAGGCCCTGGAAGGAGAAGAAAAGGTGCCCCTTGTCTGGGGCCCCAATCAAGAGAAAGCATTTACAACTATAAAGACCAAGCTCATGAAGGCACCAGCCTTAGGACTCCCGAACGTATCACTGGACTTCAACCTGTTCATGCATGAAAACAACAGAATAGCCCTGGGAGTCCTAACCCAGGAATTTGGGCCTTGGCAGAAACTAGCAGCTTACCTTTCAAAAGAAATTGACCTGGTTGTAGAAGGCTGGCTAGCTCCCTCCCCTGGGAGGAGGAGATCGTGTTTCCTGAGAAATTCAAGGGCAGCATCCTGCCTGGTTTGGAAATTCCTGCTAGGCTGTGGTACCATTTGCCTGCCTTTGGGGAGATACTGCTGCTAGAGCTGGAGCAAGACCTGGGTGTCCAGGTTGAGAGGCTGACAGCACAGTACCTGGGCCAGGTTCCTGAGCTGCTGGGTGGGGCAGAGCCAGGCACCTACCTTACTGGCACCATCAATAAAGATCCAGAGTTGGTGGCATCTCTGCACTGGGTTGAGGGAGCCCTGTTAGGGGTGCTGCAGTATCAGGGGACCAAACTCCACATCCAGCCACTGGAGGGAGGCACCTCTAACTCTGAAGGGGGGCCTGCGGCTCACATCCTATGCTGGAAGAGTCCCACCAGCAGCCAGGGCCCCATGTGCGGCATCAAGACTCCTCCTGGGAACCCCAGGCACAGTCCCCAAAGAGCCAGGTGCTTTGCTTTCCTGAGTAGATTTGTAGAGACCCTGGTGGTGGCAGAAGACAAGATGGCAGCATTTCATGGTGCAGGGTTGAAGCAATACCTGCTCACACTCATGGCAGCCACAGCCAAGACCTTAAAGCACCCGAGTATCTGCAACCCTGTCAGCTTGGTGGTGACTTGGCTAGTGGTTCAAGTGCCAGGAGAGGAAGGGCCCCAGGTGGGACCCAGTGCTGCCCAGACCCTGCACAGCTTCTGTGCTTGGCAGAGAGGACTCAACACACCTGAGGACACAGACCCAGATCACTTTGACTCGTCAGGACCTGTGTGGGGTCTCTACCTATACAATGGGTTTGGGCACTGTCTCTTAGACAAGCCAGAGGCTCCCCTGTACCTGCCTGTAATTTTCCCTGGCAAAGACTATGACACAAAACTATAGGCCCTGGTGAGGGCATTAGAACTCAGCAAGAATAAGTGGGCAACATATATACTAACTTGTGCTATGCCTTTGCCACCCTACATATACATGGGTCTATATACAAGGAAAGAGGGCTCCTTACTGCAAGGGGTGGGGGAGGAATAAAAAACCAAGGTGAAATCCTAAAGTTGCTGGAGGTGGTCTGGAAACCAAGAGAGGTAACAGTCATCCACTGCAAGGCACACCAAAAGGGAAGAGACTCAGTGTCAGAAGGAAATTGTCAGGTAGACCCTGCAGCTAAACAAGCTGCAAGAGAACAGATAGCCCCACCAAAAATCATGCTGACTCCAGAACTACTTGAAACCCCAAAATTCATGGCCCAGGAAGGAGAATAGGCACAACAGGAAGGGGAGAATGTAACAAAGGAAGGATGATGGATCCTCCCAGACCACAGAATCTACATGCCAGAACAATTAGCCCATCGGTTAGTCCTCCAACAACATGAACTCACCCATCTGGGAAAAACCGCCCTAGAAGCCCTATTAAGCTGGTACTACCTGATTGTTCAACTTCCATCCCTCTGTGCCTTGGTCTCCCAAAGCTGTCTCCTCTGTGCTCAAAACAATGCCAGACAAGGCCCCACTGGGCTCTCCAGGATTCAGCACTGTAACCAAGCACCCTTTGAAGATCTAAAGGTAGACTCCTCGGAAAAAGGACCCATTAGAGGAAATAAATATCTCCTGGTTTTCATCTGTACTGGGTTGGGTTGGGTTTCATCGGGCTGGGTTGAAGCTTAACCCATATGTACAGAAAAGGCAAGAGAAGTAACCCAAGCTCTACTGAGAGACATCACCCCAAGATATGGAATGCTATTGACTATAGGATCAGACAAAGGGCCAGCCTTTGTAGCAAAAATAGTACAGCAGGTAGGTAAAATTCTAGGCATCCAATGGAATTTGCACACAGCCTACTGGCCCTAGAGCTCAGGGAAAGTAGAATGCATGAATCGGACCCTTAAGCAGACCATGGCAAAACTATATCAAGAAACCAACCTGCCCTGGACTGATATACTGCCCCTAGCTCTTCTGCAAGTGCATTGTACCTCTCAAGCAAATACAGGGTTCTTCCCTTTTGAAATCTTATACAGAAGACCCCCCCCCCTCACTGATAAAATTCAAAGCAGTTATAAAAGAACCTGGGAAGTTGGAAATCAAAAAACAGCTACAAGGACTAGGAAAAACCATTCTTGAGGTACATAAGTGGATAACTGATAGAATACCCATTTTCCTGGAAATAACTGTACACCCCCACAGACCAGGGGACCAAGTCTGGATAAAAGACTGAAAAAAGGAATCCTTCAAACCAATCTGGAAGTATATTAGTTATACTATTAGTATATTTAGTTATACTAACCACTCCCACAGCTCTCAAGGTTGCAGGTCTGAATACCTGGATCCACCACTCATGGGTGAAGGCAGCTCACCTGCCACGTGACAACCAACCTACCTGGAGAGTGATCACCAGCTAGAACAGTCCTCTGCAGGTCACCCTTAAGAGGGCAGTGAAACCTGCTGATCAGTCTATGGCAAGTGCCTGAGGACTCTGCCAATAGAATGAATGGTCATCACCTGCTGGACTGATCCCAGCACTGAATTCTGTATCCTTAGTAGACTTACAGGATCAAGTAGACTCCTTAGCAGTAGTATTACAAAATAGAAGGGGATTAGACCTACTGATTGCTGAAAAGGGAGGAATAAGCCTCTTCTTAAATGAGAAATGTTGCTTTTGTGTTAATCAATCAGGAATAATTAGAGACATGGCCCAGCAGTTAAAGGAACAAATTACAAAAGACAGGAATTATCGGAATCTTGGAGTTCCTGGAGTAACATATGAAACTGGGCATCTTGGGTACTCCCATTAGGTGGTCCTCTCTTAATGGTTTTTATAGTGCTCCTGTTTGGCCCTTGTATTCTCAACATGCTAACCCATTTCATTTCCTCTTGCTTAGAAACAATAAAACTCCAAATGATGCTTCAAAAAGGACCCCCAATTACTCTCAGTGAAGAACTCTAGTTGCTGCATCCCTCCTCTTCAATTACCCTATTCAGCAGGAAGCAGTCAGAGAGATTGTCCTCCCTCTTCCTCACTACGGGAACTCCTGTCCAAGATGTTTTCTAAGTCTGCTGGGAGCGGCTTGAGAATCAAGAGGCTGGAATGAGAAGGCAAGCCAGGTGTAGCCCCTTAGGCAGTGCAGAGATCCTGCCCCTGGTTTTGTAATTCCCTTACATCCGTCAACCACCTAAACTACAGTAGAACTAGACAGCCCCAAATACCTGGAGGTTTATCATGCATAAAAGGTGGCTGGAACCTGGGCTCAGGGCTTAGCCTTTGGAGGTGACTCTACTGGGACAGCACCAGTGTGCATTAAACAGTCCTTTTCTAATCCTCCAAGTGTGTGCAGTCTGTCTCTTCTCGCTGACCAAATTTCTGCCACAACACAAATTGGCCCCTGTTTTTAGTCCACTGTCCTACTGTTGAATCCCAATCTCTTAGCCACGGTGCCAATTCAGTTCAATAAGACTCAATTCTGGAATTTTGGTTGGAATTATTGTAAATAGGTCTCTTTCCACTAGACTATAATTGCCCTTAACCCATTACCCAGCTACAATAATCATCACTCAAAGGTATTCATATTTAATCTATATCCCTACCCATTTCCTCTAATCAATCATGCTTTACTTAAAACCAATTTTAAACATCATATAGTTTAATTTATAAGTGCTTCAACATGTTTATAAATGGTAAGGTAATTTTATCACTGTAATTTGTCATATCTAAAAAAGTAACAATTTCTTAACTATCAAATATGCAATCCATATTAAAATTACCCCTATTACTTCACAAATATGTTCTTACATTTTTATGTTTGATTCAGAGTCCAAACAAGGTCCATGCATTGCATTTGGTTATGTTTCTCAAATGTCTTTCAATCGTTATGTTCTTCCTTCTTTTTCAATTCCTTTACATTTCTTTATTGAAGAAAGAGGAGGCCATAAACTTGTTCCTTGCTGTTTTCTTAGTGCCCAGTGTGGTGCCTAGAAAAGATTCAGAATTCAATTAGTGTCCATAAATGTGTGAAGAAATGAAGGACCACAGCCTCATCTGCCTGGTTCAACACTTGGTTGAGCTTTCATTTCTTAGTGGCCTTTGTTGTCTGTCCTTGAAATAGTCTCTCTTCATTGACCCCTCAGTCTCCTGGTCTTCAGAGTGGAGCAGCTAATACTGGCCTTCTGCTACAGTTCCTGGGGAGGTTGTGACAGAGGCTGGAATTTTTAAAATAAAGCATAAAACCGCTCTGAGCAATTGGTACTATAAATACCAGAGGAAGGGTTCTATTATTAAGTATCTTTTGTTCATAGAAGCTTCAGGCAGAGTGGTAACGTTGAGAAGTAGAACCCTTTTCTTTGTCCTTTGTGCTTCCTTGAATGTGGCAATTAGAACAGTCAGGGCTAGAAGCATGCCTGGGGGTGGGGAGCTCCAAGGCTCCCTTTAGACTAGTCAGCCCTGCTTTGGCTGGGGCAAGCCTGCAGTATCCTATTCCATCCCAGCAAATATAGAATAGCCTGGAGACCAGGAGGAATGAGACAACTGTTTCTGTTTAGAAAAGAGGTAGAAGGATGTAGCTACAGGTGGGGGTGAATGTATGCCCCTAAGAGAGAAGCCCAGCCAGGAAGTTGCTTGGCCCCTTTGTAGGAGAGCTGAGATTTGGGCTGGACTCCTGACAGCACATGTGGCCCCAGCGTCTGGTCAGGTCACTAGTGACAATGAAGAACTTGTCTAGAAAGTCTGTATGTATTTATGAGGCAATAAGTTTTCATTTCAAACAAAGAGTTCAGAGAAGCTTTGATGAGTGGCCAAGAACTACTACAGAGAAGTTAATAGCCAGTGAGGTCAAGTTTCAGCCTTCCCTGGTTTGGAGAGAATCCTATTCTTAAGCCAGCAGCCATGCAATATTACTCCGGGCCACGTAGGCAGCCAGGAAATAAAAGGAGGCCTTCTCTATAAGCATTTTTATCTAACCTATACTTCAGTGGAGGCTATGCATGGGGCCTTTGCAGGAGGTTGTCATTAGTCTTTACCTTCCTATACCACAAGCACTTTCCACAAGGTGTCACTTGTTAAGGCCAATATCTCAGGTCTTTAAGACAGACACTGGGCATGCCTGCAGGGTGTGTGCTATGGGAATTATAAAAATGACAACAGAACATAGGAGTTTGCAAAATTATCAAATAACTAGGAGGTTTTTTTTGTTTTTAATTGAAAGTAATGAGGACCTAAAAGTACACATATGTGAAGTGGGAATCTTTAAAGTTTCAGTTTTTTCTAAGCTTTCTGTATGCCAAAAGAGGAGCTTATTTTGGAAGTGGAAGAAGTATGATTTTCCCCCCTCAACTCAAAAGTGGTTGAACTGATTTAGCTTAAACTATAAAAAGACAAAAACCAAATGCTCCCTGGTACAAGATTTCTGTGTGGAATAGAATGGAAACAAACAGAGGGGTAAGACCATGAAAATCTAGCACCTTGAAATCATTCTTCCAGCTGATTTTTTCAGATGGCCATGAGAGGATCTTAAAGGTAGATTTGGGGCATGGGGTTCTGAGTCAAAGAGGCAAGTAACTCCAATTTAACCATCTTTTTAATCAGAGGTTATTAGACATTTCTATGAATCTGAAATTATTTTTCTAAACATTCTCATCTTACTTTTTACAAAGCTACCAGCACAGACAGGATTTTTATATATGTTTAACTAATGAATTTAACTGTGCATTGACTAACTAAAGAAGGGAATGGTCTAGAGCTATTATTAAGATAAGTTTTGGAGACAAATAGGCCTAGGTTCATACCTCAACTCTTCCCCTTATTAGATGCTTGAACTTAATACTGAGCCTTACTGCTTCTTCTACAGAACTTGAATAAATTTACCTCAGAAGTCTGTGATAACTATTACATAAAAATATAAA